AGAAGACCTTTGGGGCATGTCTGTAAAAGTAGTTAGTTCTTTCATAGATATTGTTGCTCCATATCTAGCTACTATTTTTAATAAATGTATTGATAATGGGACTTTTCCACAATTAATGAAATTTAGCAAATTAATCCCACTATTTAAATCAGGAGATAAATTTGAGCTATAGACCTTATCTATTTTGCCAGTTCTAAGTAAGGTGTTTGAAAAGATAATGTTAAATCAAATGTTACAACACTTCAGGGATAACCGACTGCTTCACAGTCAACAATATGGTTTCACCGCCGGCAAGTCTACCACTGACGCAGGTGTAGCGCTAATAACACATATTTTCCAATCATGGGAGAAGTCACAGGATGCACTCGGAGTTTTTTGTGACCTATCAAAGGTATTTGATTGCGTGGATCATAAAACACTTTTGTACAAGCTCGAACATTATGGTATAAAAGATAATGATCTAAAATTAATGAGAACTTATTTAGAGGATAGGGTCCAAACTGTAGATATTGACGGTATAAAATCTAAGGGAGCTAATATTGGGATGGGCGTTCCACAAGGGTCAATCTTAGGCCCCTTTCTCTTTTTAATTTACATAAATGACCTTCCCTTTATGGTAGAGAAAATTGCAGATATAGTGCTGTTTGCGGATGATACTTCGTTAGTGTTTAAAATTGGACGTCAAACTAATCAATTAGACGATGTAAATTGTGCTATGTCTGCTATATTAAATTGGTTTACATGTAATAACCTATTATTAAATTCCAGCAAAACAAAGTGTATAAAATTTACACTTCCTAATGTAAGACCAATAAATACACAGTTATTGCTTAATGACGAAATAGTAAACTTTGTTAATGATACAGTTTTTTTAGGTATAACAGTGGACTCGAAATTACAATGGGGGCCCCATATTTCAAAATTGGCCAATAGACTCAGTTCAGCTGCATATGCAATTAGAAGAATTAGGCAATTAACAGACGTGGCGACGGCTAAACTTGTATACTTTAGTTATTTCCATAGCATTATGTCATATGGTATACTACTGTGGGGTAAAGCAGCCGATATAAATACTATATTTATTTTACAAAAGAGAGCCATACGTTCTATTTATGGTATGGGTTCAAGAGAGTCATTACGTCAGTGTTTTAAAGACTCAAATATCCTCACCGTTACTTCACAATACATTTATGAGAATATCATGTATACGCGGAAGAATTTAGACAGTTTTAGAAAACTTAAAGACTGTACAAATAGAAACTTACGCAATAAAAATAAGCTAATTTTACCTAAATGCCGCCTGCACAAAGTCAGTAATTCATTCTATGGTAATTGCGTAAGATTTTATAATAAACTGCCAGAATCTGCACTAAATCTGACAGAGAGGCAATTCAAATCTTATATTAAACAATTTTTATGTAGAAAGCCTATTACAGGATAGACGAATTTATAGAAGACAATATATCAAGTAAATAATTAGTTTATTAGCATACAACGTTATAATTTGTTTATCTCATTGCTTTCTTGATTCAATTATTTTAGAAATATGAAAGCGTAGCGGGTTTTGTATTAATTGCCGCATGCATTCTTATGTGAAATGTGAATACTATAAACATCAGATGGCAATTGTGAGTAGCTATGACGTGGTCTGGTGTTTTGAGTAGTCATGCTCACTAAAATGTCCAGACTTGTGGCGGCGTGGTGGGCCGGGTCATTGGGCTCCCTAAAATATGGTCGAGCGCAGTGATGGCTGGCTCATCCGTCATACTCGTGAACGGGTGCTGCTTGTAGGGACTGGTCTGCTCTAATCACTATGACTGATTTCCTCTTATTAATTGTTTAACCAGTTGGTTATGTGTTTAATATTTTTTTCTTTTTGAGTATTTAATTGAATTAGTGCTAATCGGTGGTTTGTATTCACACACTTAAACTTAAATTGTAAGTAAGAATAAATTATTTAAAAGAGCAACACACAAGTTTCTTGCTTGTTCTTCTTGTGATGAGACAGCATTCCGAATGAGCGGTAGATTAAAAAAAAAAAAATGTTATGACTATTCAAAAGTGCTTCAATGTAAGTTTATTTGAATAAATGATTTTCTATTCTATTCTATTCTATTCTATTCTTTACTTCTACGACTTAAACCGTAATGTTATGTATTCCAATCTGACGTATGTATATGCTGCACCAAAAATCAATGTATGGTAATAAAAATCTAGCTGACTCTTAGATAATGGAATAAAAATAACTGTTGAGTTAATCAGAGATATTGTTATCGCCAACATTTATTCTCTGCACCACCTATGGTTGACTGGTAGGAAATACCGCATGGTGTTAAGTCCGCCAAATGTACTTTACTATATTTTGTATATTGTGTGCATTGAAGTTAAATAAATAAAACGCTTACCCATACTACATTGAATTCCATTTGTTCTAGGACATTTGGTATTTAAAATGGGGCCATAGCCACAACGCCAATAATCAACACTGAGTAGAGGATGTAGGAAATGTATGAATAGACTGAATACCTCATTGCTAACATTGTACCATGTCAGATGGACCTGGAAACCATCGTAATAAATTCCTGGTTAATTTGTCACGATGGCCTAACTGACCTGACCTCATGTTCATCTTATCATCCTCCACTGGTGCCTCAACAGCGTACACCGTAAGCGCAGACGGATGCACTATTCCATTATCATCCAGTAAAAAAAAACAATAAGTAGCAAGGAATTAACAATTGTCGGCTTTATAAATATAAACTGACACATATGTATTTTTAGTGTCAGTAACCTTTGGGGTCGGCTAAATCTGTTATATAACTGTAAGGTTGATCTATTAACGTTAAATTACTTTTTCTCGTTTCATTGTATATTTAAATGTGGGTACACTGTTGTTAGTTGGTCGGTCGGTTGGTCATTTGTATTCTCAACGCAGCTTTCAACTACTTTGTAAAAGAGTAAATGTCGAGTCTGCAGCGGGTTCTTCTGGGCAGAGAACTACATTAGAAAGTTCAAGAACGACAAAATGAAAAGATCAAAAGCAATAGAATAAAACAATTAGAATTTGTATACTTATGTATGAATTAAAATTTATTAGGATCCCGAAGCAAAGGGATAAAATAAAACCATGACCGGTTAATTGTGTTAACCCTTATATATTACCATAACACTTGAAATTTACAGCAGTTTAGAATAGTGTTGCTTTAGTTTAATTGGAAAGTAAGTAGTTATTTTTACTTTCTTTACAAGAAGTTACTAAATAGAGGAAGGAAATTTAAATCTTCTCATCAATATAAATATATAATAATATTACTTAATATCTACTTAAATAAAATATGAAGAAATATATAATATTTACTTTAAGACCTTGTCAGTTGGAATATAGATCGCACTTAATCATTTCTTTTATTAAAATATGTTATACTAGCTGTATCCGCTACTTCGTCTGCGTAAAATAGTGACCTTGATCAAATAATGATAAAATATTTAATAATCTATATAAAAAAAATAGAAGACAAATAAAATAGTTTCGTAGTTCTAGCTTCAAAAATGACGAATTTCCATACAGAGTTCCATACCACTCAATCCACAGCCTAAGAACAGTTTGAAGCTTCTACCTTTAAAAATGGCGATACTTTTATACGACCTTTCATAACACCTTTCAACCTCAGGCTCTGCAGTTTTGGCGTGAAAGCGACACGGACAGACAGAGTAATTTTCGCATTTATAATGTTAGTAAGGATATTCAATATTTTGTATATATCTTTGAACATAATATTAAATTAGAAACCCTAATGCTAATAGGTATATGACATAAAATGTATTGCACGCAGTTCAAGGATCAAGGACAGGAAAATATTATTTCTTTATTCATTTTATTGAATTACATAAGTATCTAGTTATAATATCATTCCGCAAATACGTTTGTGTGGAATTGGGTTATAATTGAATCTACAGTCACGAGAAATAACATATAAACAATTTAGTATCTTGTCACAGTGACATTATTGGCAAGTCAATACACTTTTACGTATTACGAATATCTTTTTATTGTGACAAGGTACTACACACATTGTTCATGACCGTACACAATATATTTTCAATATGTCATCACATTCAATAAATACAGTGTTTACTGAAACTGTTATTAGATTTATTTCTTATTTGTTAAACATTTGCATTCTTCTAGGAATAGAAAAAAAACAAAACAAAATTAGATAAATTTAATATAGCATTAGAATGAAGATACACCGTTTTATTTATTCTGAAACTAATAAATAAATATCTGAGTACCGAAATATAACATATCATATTCAAGTGACAATGTCACAGTATATTTCGTTTTGTAGTTAGCGTCATATTATTTAACTCTTTCGTCTTTAGAAACAGACTGAAATGTATGGAGTTTAGTCATCATTTTAATTTAGTATGTTCCTATTTGAACAATAAGAAATTGCATAGCTTATCGGCACTCAAGTGCAACATTAAAAATCTGTAAGTATAATATTATTTAATACTACATCGCTTTGAGCGATAAGGCCGCCTTTTATTCGCATATTTTTCTTTCTTTCTAAGTTATATTACGTAAAGTTTCATCAAAAACAGTTCTGTAGTTTTTGCGTGAAAGAGTAACAAACATCTTTCCAAACTTTCGCGTTTATGATATTAGTAAGTTGGATACCACTTTTCATTAGATGGAACTTAATATTATCTGCCGTTACTTGCTGTGTAAATAATAATAATATATCTCAGGACAATTAACACAGCGCTATCTAGACCCAAGTTAAGCTAGCTAAAGGTTGTGTTATGGGTACTAGATAATTGATACGAAGACATACATTGTTTTCGTAAATATATACATATTATACATAAAAACTAGCCAGACCGATACCAACAATCATACCATGAATACAAATGTTTGTGTCGTGCGAGGAATTGAACCCGGAACATCGGAAATAAGACGGTGTGCTAAACCGCTAGACCAGAGGCCATCAACAAATCTATGACCTATGAACCATTTCTTCACCATTGAACTGTAGTAACACAAGTTCGTACGTAACTATCGTACTGGCGACCTGAAACCAAACAAAAGTTAAATTAATTCCGTTTCTGTTGAATGCACTATTGTATTTCTTTAACGCAAACACGAAGCAATATTAAAAATACAATATTCAAAGTTGTGAAAATCGTTACGTTTACAAATAGGTATTTCATTTTGATGCTCTTTTGTGCTCATAAAATCATACGACTTCGTGAATTAAATTTCTTTTTTAATTGAATATTGGAATTATATTTTTGTGAAGTATATATGATTTAAATGTAATAAAGAAATTACTATGAATACATCATACACACAACACCATCTAGTACCACAATAAGCAGAGGATGTTGCATAATAAACAATTTTTTTTTTCAAATATAATATACATAATGTAATGAGGATAAGGGACGTCTAGTCATCTAGTCCCACGTCGTAAGCAGAGATTGTATTATGGGTACTAGACAACTAATACAAATACTTAGATTATTTTTGAAAATACATACAAAACATCTAGACATACATACATCATAGTCATGAATACAAATGTTTGCACCGTGCGAAGAATTGAACCATCCATCGAAAGTACAACGATGTGCTGAACCGCTAAACCACCGAGGTCCTCAAATATCCTTATATACTGCATATAATGGACGAAATAGAACGCAATTTTGCGATATTCAGTTCATCTATCTTTAAGAAGCTAGAAGAGAAGAGAAGGTAGACATAATTCATACATCATGTCACTGATTAACAGACTGAAGACCTGGGTATTTTAAATTCACTAGAGCACAACACTCATCTTAGATGTACGTGCTAATATTATATTTGAGCCATTCCGAAATACCCTTTCAAATATGTGCGTCGTATAATCTTCATTCAAATTCATAGTTCGTCCGACAAAAGTGTCGATCCTGGATTCAGATTGTACCCGTTATGAGCGGACCAATTGGGACCTAAGGGCTTACACAAGTGGCAAACGATTAGATTTCTCAAATTGTGTTTGTACGAGTGAAACGTTTTTTTTCGTCAAATATTCGTAGGACTCTTTATACTATTCACCTAGTATCTAATAATATTGTATAAATAACTAGCTGTGCCCGCGACTTCGTCCGCGTGTTATAGAGACCTTGACCAAAGGAAGAAAAAAAAAATTAAATAATCTAACCGAAAAAGCCAAAGACAAGTTTCATCGTTCTGGCTTAAAAACTACGAATATCCATACAACCTAACATGCTTTATTTTATGTTACTTATTTATATTCAATTAACAACCTACCTAAAAAAGGCTTTTTTCGTATTAAAAAGTAACGTGGACTAAGAATGTACATACCATTCTCAGCGCCAGACTATCTGTGTACCAAATTACATTCAAATCGGTTCAGTAGTTTTGGCATAAAAGCGAGACAGACAGACAAAGTTACTTTCGCATATATAATATTAGTTAGGATTATATCGATTTGGTATAACCCGTAATGTTGGAGACGTATTATTATTATTGGTATGCTTTCATAGAGAAGTTACACAAAGCAAAAGTAATACGATTTTTAAGAACCCTTATAAGATATTCTGTCTTATAATATAAAAGCTATATAAGTATTAGCAACCTAAATACCTGTAAAATTTCGTACAATATTGTCTGCTAGACAGAGGTACCTACGTACCTCTGTCTAGCCTATTTTAGCAACCAAGTAGCTTGATCGTTGCAAAATGATTTTTCGGTTGGCTGATGAGATAAGGAAATCAAATTACAGGATAAGAGGCATAACAACTTACTCCTTTGAATGCCAACACATGATCATTACGGGCATCACCTGATAAACTGACGACCTTAGTGCTGGTCATGTATATAAGCGCCTGTTGCCACTAATCACCGTGGACCGTCAGATTGTATGCAATTTGAACTAAATAAAAAAATCTATTTAAAATAACTGTTAGTTATTTAAATGATTTTAGTTGATTAGTACAATTATTAGTATATATTTTTTTGAAAAGAATACGAGCTGTGTTTCTTGTCAGTTCTTCTCATCTCGAAATCATTCCGAACTGACGGTAGACTTGACATATCATAAGACTCTGTAATAGATCTACATGAATACTAGCCTCTTGCCAAAGAAAAAAAAAAAGATATTTTGAATTTGAATTTGAATAATGGAGAGTACCTACTTAATTAATCGGTAAGGACAAGCTGAAAATTTAACATCGGTTAAATGTGTTGAACTTGATTTATTAAATTGATATTGGGAAAAGTTTTCACCATCAACAAAAAGGATATTAATCAATGAATTAGCAAGTTGTGTCTTTGAAGATCCAATATAGTTTGAATTACTTTCTTGTCAGATACAGTTGGTACGTGTATAAAGAAGACATGTTTTATGACAAAGAAATTAGTAAATATTTATTTATTATTATGTAAATATTATATCTTATAGCAAAAGTATGTCTGTTTGATTTTTTCCAGTGTGGTAGTAATCTGGCATACGGTCCATCAGATAGTAAATGGTAAAATAGGCTACAGTCTATGAATACGGTTACTGCAGCCTATGGATATTTGAAATATGAATGTCTTTGCCTATGCTTAAAAATGTAAGAAAGAGCGCAGTTTGGTTGCCGAGCAGTCAACACTACATTTCCAAGCTATATCCGAACTGTATTCAATGCCTGATGATGCCTTGCTCAGAGGCGAACCACGTGTCGCCATATAGGTAGACTCAACAACGGTCGGAATTTGATTACAATTAGAGAAGATCGTAACGCTAACCAGTAATGAACTATCATTCATTTCAAACTGACTACAGTTTTCCGCATTGAATATTTGTGATCTCACACATGCTAATGGTATAATTTAAATAAAAATAATGTAAATCTATTTAGTAACGAAATAGTTTTTCACAAAATAATAGCTAATTCAGTAAAACATATATTTAGGAAACTCTAATGTACCCTTCTTGAAACACACCATGTTGTAGTTTCCAGAGAGGCAGGTCGGATCTTAATGAAATTTGACGTTAGGATAGAATATATGAGGACGGACATGGGCTATCTATCTATTTAAAAAACAGACGAAGTGACACGGAACAGTAAACAATAATTGTAATTATAGGCTATGTATAACATCTTAGTGGTCCGGAATGGCAATACGTTATGGCACTCTCACTGTAGATAGATAGGTAATGGTTACCACTTACCACCTAGTGGGATATCACGTTATTTGAACTTTTTTAAATGACCCAGGACAGTTTTTTGTAAATTCTTAAATAATATACATACAAAACCAACAATACCGATACAAACAATCATACTAATAAATACAATTGCACCATGGGAATCGAAACCGCGACCATAGAAAGTAAACCGGTGCGAACTCATATTATCGAGAACGTCAAAAATATTTAACATTCTAGTTACCAAATAAAAAATAAAGGAACTTGAAATACCGTACATTAGTTTATTTGCACAAATAATAAAGAAAATTGGGAACATTTTTCTAAAGCTTTTTGAATTGGACCTCTTTGCCTAATTTGGATAGCTAAGAATCTGTTTTTGTACAGTTTTTACAGGTTAAGGTCCCACTCACTGTACGTTTATTTATTTTTTTCTCTAGCAAACAATATGCACTAATATAAAAAAATAATATAAATAGAATAGAATATTTTCTATATTGTACCATTGATCTCATAGATTTATACTATGTAGTAACAATATATGTATAGTATTAACTGTACATGGAATATACATAAGAAAATGTATTAATACACGATTTCACTAACGTCATATAATTTATAAAAATGATTATTAAATACGAGAGTATGAACGCGTTAATCTAAAACCGATTTGGTTATATTTTCACAAATATAAAGTATCTGGAACTTAGTTTAGAAATTTTGTGTATATTTCAATTAGTTTCAAAGGAACTTCCTGCTACGTACATGTTAAGATTGGTGAATGAACTACTTCCTGAAGTTTTCTCTACAATACATAGTGTTGTATTCCCAGTTTCTACCGACAAACCGACGAAATTATCTCTATTTTTGTTTAAGAATTGGTAGCGTACATCTAACAGTCAGGCTTACGGCAACTGTTTACTGTAGTAAAGCAAACAGGACATATTTTATAAAATAGGCTACATGCTTCTTTGCTACTATCGTAGCATTAAAGAATCATACATGATAGGTACATGATTACGGAGTAGCAGGCTCAGTTAATGTCTAACATGTATGTCCAAAATTCTTACCAAGTTATAAGTTTCATCTGGTACCAACACGATTTGAATAACTAATATTTTTTGCAAGTGAAATTTAAAAAGAACATTATTACAGCAGTATGCCAAGTCCTTTATAGTGTAGCTACGAGTAACCTTGCTTGCTTGATAGCCCGAAATCGACGGGACTCTATACTCTTATTACTTGATTAAATGGATTTTGTGTTAAATTTTGTTCCCGGCTTCTGAATTCTAGATGGAAAAGCGTAGACCTCGATTGAAATAAGTACAAAAAGTAATTGCTAATCAATACGTATTTATTTTAACAAATTATTTCGTGTTATATTTTTTTTCTTTTCAATTATTATTACTGTTTCAACATTACTACATTAATTACAACAATCTTTCTTGAAAATTTCAATATGTATGTCTGTCTTGTAGATTAATATTAAACAGTCTGTGTGGTCTAGCGGTTCAACACACCGCTTCACTTCCGATGGCCGCGGGTTCGAGTTCCTCGTACGAGCCAACACTTGTATTCATGACTATGATTGTTTGTATCGGTCTGGGTGTTTTCTATATATAATTGTATATATTTTCAGAAATAGTATCTATGTGTTTATATGAGTTGTCTAGTACCGATAACACAAGCTCTGCTTAGCTAAGGACAAAATGGCGCTGTGTGAATTGTCCAGAGATATTATTATTATTACATGGTATAAAACAAAGTCGCTGTCTGTCCGTCCCTATGTATGCTTAAATCTTTCAAACGCAACGGATTTTGAATCGGTTTTTGTTAGATAGAGTGATTCAAGAGGAATGTTTATATATATAATACATGTACATCCGTGCAAAGTCGGGGCGAGTAGCTAGTAATTAATAAATAAAAAATCCGATTGAAATATAATCTACTACGGTTAGATTTTACATAATCTTTCCATGGTACAAGTATATTTGCTTACCTCACTCTTAGTACCTCACCACCAAGGTCCTGGGTAAATTCATGATATGTATTTATATAGCAGTACGGTTCAATTTATACACAAAACAAATATTTGATTTTGTAACTTCATTGAGTACTTGTATTAGATGTATATAAGTGGATTTTATATTATATCAATTGATGTAGAACAAATTGTCCCTAATTTTATGCTAGATAACGTACTGCGATAATATATCCAAAACTATTTTTTTAAATAAAAAATACTCACAGTTAATACTAAGCTTTTGGTGATGTGGAAAAATTGGAGACCGCTCAAAGCTAAAGTTTCTCCATGTACCTGCTCTATGAACCGTTGAATCTGAAAAAAAGGCGCATGATAACAGTTCTAGGCTTCAAAATTTTATATAATGTAGGTATTAGGGTCGATTCTCGGGTCTCTTTAGACTGGTCCAATCAATTACAATAGCTACTAAACAGAAAAAGACATGTTCAAAACTGCACTTCAAATGATATGAAAATATTTGTCAGGCTAAAGTGAAAAATAAGAGATATATGCGTATCGGATTCAAAGTATATCGTGCGAAATTTAGTCATGCGAAGGTTGTATTCACCAAAAGATCGACTGTTAATAAAGCCTCAACTACCCCATCTTGGATAGTAATCGTAACGGTATAGTTTTTTGTATTAAAAATATAATTATTACCTCACTGCAATACGCGGAAGATGGTATATCATATAGGGCTGACGCGGGTTCATTTGAAGTGGAGTGTATATTAGCAGTCACCAATGATACGGCCAAGAATCTAGCAAGGACGTATACCAATGAGAATGTAAAATACACTACATTTTCAAATCCTCCAAATGGGCTGAAATAATAAACAATTTTAACATTCATTTATATAATTACGTTTTTAATTAGTATAGGGGACAAATGAGCTTGCGGTTCACCTGATGATAAGTGATTACCGCCGCCCAACTCTCGCAAAACCAGAGCAATTGCAAAGGAGTTGCGTTACGTGAAGAAGCAGTAGCTCTTTTCTTAAGGTTTCAAAACCATATCTGTTACCTTAATATTTTTTCCATAATGTTTCAGGCGTATATAAACCTAATTTAATATGTCCTAATAACTGCTAGAGATAAATAGGAAATATGAACAAAAGAAACGTAGAAAAACATAGTAAAGAAAATAAAATATTGTCTTAACATATTAACAATAATAATTTATTCAATGTAAACTTACGTAGCACAGCCTATAAAATAATTTAAAATATCTAATCCAAGCTTGAAATTGTAAATCCGATTTATATTAAAAGTAAAAACAGGCTACTATTGCTGGCTTTTGCTAAGTTTTTCGTAAATGTACAATCATATTAAAAAAGTTTGCTTCGTTACAAAATGTACCTACATAACATTGTGCAAAGAAACATTTTTTTCATTTAGCAAACAAAACACAATCAGTATTTTACAATGTTTTATAAAACTTTTCCTTTTCGGGTTTTCAATCAGAGAATGAAAACTGTTCGTACTTTTGCTGGCCTTTAATAAACATTTTCGTAAGTGCAAGCATCTTATTAAAAAAAAGTTCCGTTTCTTTACAAAATATAGTGAAACAAAACACAAACGGCGTATTATAATGTTCCTTAAAACTTCTCCGCTCTGAGATTTTCTAGACCAAGTGGGAAACGTGTTGTTAATTATTTACGTAAAAATACTATTTTGTTTGTACTTACCCACTTGGGAAATTAGGGCAGGACTCTGCGGGTGGTTTTGCCCTCAATCCGTGGCTAAAAATTTGAAATTCAGTACAATATTGATCGTTTCTTTAGACATCGCATCTAAGTGGAAGTTAATACAATAACAAGTAAACAAGTAAATATTTATGTACAATTCATTTTACATATTTACTACAGTGCTATTATTTAAAACTTTGGAAATGTTAAACGAGTGATAAACCATATCAATCATATAACATACTATGTGAATGTTGTTATAATTTGATGTAATATATATTTTATTTGAAAATACCAATACATTCTTGTACTATGTGTTTTAGTTGAAGGGTGTGGCATAAATTACTAGATAAGAGGCATGACTTATGTCCATAGTGGTCACAGCCAATGGTTACCACTTACCATCACATAAAAAAAAATTATCTATTTTTCTTTCATAACTAACTCAGTTATAAATATAAATTGACACAAAGATTAAGTGTCGCGTAAACTGAAACTTACTACCTGTCGGGTCTATGGTTGATATAGCTAACTAAACCACGACACCACGACCATTAAAATATTATGTTAATATGAATACATATTAGCATAATATTTTAATGATATATGTTTTATATATAATATAATGTCTAATAATGGTTATATAATAAATATAATTTTATCTTGGAGGGGGGGAGGAGAGAGGGGTAATGGGATTATTAGTAATGGGGACTAGAGACTCCATTGCTAGAAATGAACCACGTCAGGTCGCCCTCCCTGGATAACATCACGGTTAATTCCAGGTGAATTTGTCACGATGGCTTACCTGATCTCATCCTCATTTTATCATCCGAAAATGGGTGCCCCGCTTTTTGCTATACACGGCGGAAGGATCATTCCATTATCATCGATTACAAAAAATTCTGTTAATTTACGATTTTTCGGGAATACAGTCGTGAAGTTATATTATCATTATATTAATACGTGAAGCAAAACCTTTGTACACCTTTTTACGAAAATTGCGCGGACATAGTGGTATGCAATACGCATACCTACTTATTGTTTTTAAAGAGAAATATTTGCAGATTTTTTTTTAAATTATACAATAAATCATTAAAAAGCATTACACACATTACTATGTATTTGACAAACACAGGCATAAAAGAAACAATTTGAAAATAGAACCCTATTAATGTTCAGACATATAATTTTCATAAATTACGATTGAATTTCGACCATTGGGCGACCACTACTATATATTACTAGCTGTGTCCGCGCTTTCATCCGCATGAAATTTATAGCTTATATGTTATTCCGATGTATAACCTATATTATTGAAAATTTTAATTAAAATCCGTTCAGTAGTTTTTCCATGAAAGAGTAACAAACATCCATCCATACTCGCAAACTTTCGTGTTTATAATATGTATTTATAAGATTATAACACATACTTACGAAAGAACATTGAACAGTTGCAAACAAATGAAGAAGAGATTGCTTGCAAACGATGTAAATATGATCCCACTGATTGCATTATCAAAGTTTCGAACCAATCGACCGGCTTGTGTGTAGTCCTCGCGCAGTTGCCTCCAGAATGCGGGCGGCAAACTCTGGAACCAATAATCCGATCGTGAATTCACTATCATTGCAATTTTTCTGGTAGGTTTTGCTAGCAATTTGTGAATTGTTACATAATTCTGCCGTCATCAGGTGTGTCGTGTGATTGCCATTGCTATTCCTATTATAATACCAATAATATGAGTAATAATAAACCTGGAAAATTGACACATCTAAACAAAGCTTCTGTTATGAGTACTCTATTATTGTTAGAGATACTTATATAACATTATAGAGTACCCATAACATATAACATATATATTTAAATATACGTCCACGTAATATCATTGTTATTCTATTATATAATATGAATAATAATAATAATAATTAGCGGTGCTCTTAGATTCTGCCCGCATTGTACGCCGGTTTCTCTCCCTGGGCCCTGAACCCCGGCCGACTGTGCTTCTGCCGGGGGTAAGTTGCCATCTCCTCCTTAGGATATGAGATTTTTTTTTGGAAGTTAGGAATAATAATAATAATTATAATAAACCTGGAAATTCACACATCTAGTCTAATGCAAAGCGAAGCTTCTGTTATGGGTACTCTATTACTGATAGAGGTACTTGTATACATTTTTTAAAAGTGCATACATAATATACCTAGAATTGTGTCAGGTAATTAAAATAATTTGTAAAAAAATCAATTTATAACAGTAAATTAATACATTCTAATTTACTTTACACACGAATATGATGATATTCGAATAGATAAAACAATCTAACAAGTTTACAAACGTTACCAGAATTTAAGTTAGTTCTGGGAATCTTCTAGGACGTGTAACAATTTATTTTATATATTTATTTAATTGAGGCTACATGGCCCATATTATTAATACCTTATAGACTAATATACATAAGAAATAATAATAAAATATAAATTCAACTTATCTCTATGACCACGGCACTGACGCCAGCAAAATTTATGGTTTCGGATAATGCTTAATATAATTTAACCAAAGATTCTAGAAACAAACTTCTACAATTCAGTTTCAGATTTTGTAAACATTACCATGTGTACGTGTTCAAAATATTTAATTTACATACACCAGAATCGTAATTACATTCGGAAATCATACTCGTAATTGTACGTGTGGGTTGCCAGTAGAATAAATTATAATTTCCTTATGGAACATTTCTTGATGGAACTAGTGCCTCTAGTAATCTATTGCAGTCGCTAAGCGGCTTGCTTTATGAGCTGTGTTTCGATTATAGGTAAAATTGTTGAGATATGTCAGTGAAATTATAGAGTATACAGGCCTAATATCTTAGTGCTCAAGAAAGCGTTCACTTGGAATACATGATGATAAAAGTCATTCTGCGGGTTTGGAGTGCCCTAAAGGCCAGCTGTAGCCAAGAGCCTTAAAATAGCGTGAAAAATATAGAAATCTTCAATCGTTAAGAGGTAAGTACTTCTTTGTTAACATTAATTGGAATACCTATTGAATACAGAAATATAAATAATCTTTATTCAAATAAACTTAATATTGCTTTTGAATAGTCATATTTTTTTATTCTACTACTTATTCGAAATGCAGACTCGTCACAAGAAAAATGAGCAAGAAACTTGAGTGTTGCTCTTTTAAATAAATGTAGTTCAGAATTACATTTTTAAGACTTTTGTGTGTATACAAACTGCCAAATAGTAAAGTTGATAAATAAATAGATACTTGAGTAACAAAATAAATTAGTGCATAGTATTCAAAACTGATCAGTCCCTACAAGCAGTACCTGTTCACTAGTATAGCGGGTGAACCAGCCATCACTGCGCTCAACCATATTTTAGGGAGCCCAATATCGTGGCCCACTATTCTGGATTCGACTCTGGACATTTAAGAGGGCATGACTGACTCATGACACTCGACCACGTCACGACTAATATTACCATACTATGTGGAAGCTGTGATATTCATACTATACAATGTGTATAACAAGAAGGAAGCATGCGACAATCAATATAGAAACCACTACACATTCAATCTTTGTGTAATCACATCTACATACATAATACTTATATAATGCGTTCAGAGTGCAATAAAGAATATACAAATCTATTTATATCTAAAAATCTTGTGGAAATAATACAATTTCGAAGAAAAAAAAAAACAAATTTTATGTCTGTATACCTTGTCACGTGAGAAGATCACTTTCGTACTGATTTGTTCCAAAATAGATGTTAAATAGAAACTAATACAAATAATAAAGAAATCTGAGTAGCTCCAATTCAATGTACACGTAAGGTTGAGGAACTGAAACATAAAAATAAAAAATGTTAACATGATTTTATAATATGTTTAACAAGAATGTAGTTATAAATTAAGTTCATATTAAAAAAAAATGTATTCATTTTATAAAGATGAACTAATTTTTAAAAAAAAAAATTATAATCAGGCAATGTATTGTAATTAATATCTAGGTACACAAACTTAAATTTATTAATAATTTAAGACATTTTAGCGACTCTTATGAACGATTTATGAAATTTTGTTTGTCTATTCAGTAGGTCTGAGAACAGGTTGTAAAGTATTTTTAAGGGTACAAAAATAGTTTACGTTCTATTCTTAGTGATAAGGATGATTTTATATATTTATTTATTATTATAAATTTCTTTTATTTTATGATTCGTCAATAAAAAATATATACAACTCTTAATTTCCATTCTGCTACCTTCAACTCCTATTTTATAATAGTGATATTACTTTAATAATTTTCTTATATAACATTTGAAATTTTACGTGCGAATACAACTACTTTCTTTTTACCTATATTTTATAAAAAAAAAATACCTGTATAATTATTCCAAGTGGCACACTAAATGGCATTCCAATTTCAAAAAGCCATGGGAACGAATGTTCTATGTAGGCTTCATACAAATAATCTAACTTATCGCCACAGTCGAGAGTTTCAGACATATTCGATATTAATGATAGGATATGTTCCACTAAAATAGAGAAATACATTATTTATTTTCATCCTCTCTTACATACAGCAGAATAATCACAATAACTAACGATCGCCCAGTGGTCGAAATTCGACCATAATTAATTTAACATCAGTCAGTAAGACTATATAATGGCCTATGCGTCTGTATAGACGATTTAGGACGTGATGGTCCGTGAACAGCTCTTTTCGTGGCTATATAAACCGATACGAGAGCCACATGGCCTCCACAGGCTCGACAAGAGAAAGATTATAAATAAAGAAAGTAAGACTATACACGAATAATATTAAAGACAAACAAACAGTTCTATTCTAAATTTGACCACAGACATTAAAAATAAAGAATAGAGTAATAGGTACATGAATAAAGTAATCAGTCAGAAACAATAGAGTAATCCATACCTATTGCTAAAGTTAACATAACGCCTATAGTAATTCTGCATTTAAATTTTAGATTCGTGTCTATATACTCGTCGAGATTCGAATTGTATACCCCCTGCAGTACAGATGGCCATTTTGCAGCAACACGTATAAATAAAAAAGTGGTCATTCCAGTTGCGGCGTAGTAAGAGAGGAATGCTGAGGAAAGTCAAAATATTATTTTAAAAATAAATATCTTAGCTATAGGAACTAGATGGCGCTGTAATTCACAAGTTGAAATATATTTCACACGTTCATTATTGTACAATAACGTATTTAATAAAATGCAAATGTATAGTTATTTGTCACTCTTTTATGTATTAAAAATGTAAGTCCAGATCCTTTGTGTTCATGGGACATGCTGGATATGGATGATATGGATATGCTATATCTAATAAAACAGTGATGTTATATAGTATTTTTGAGTAACAAAGTAATATATGTTTTGATTTTTAACAAATAATCATTACATAGTATAAAATAATCTCGCTGTCGCTGTCTGTCTCTATGTATGCTTAAATCTTTAAAACTACGCAATGGATTTTAAAGCGGTTTTTTTAATAGATAGAGTGATTCGAGAGGAGTATAGCTTACCCAGTAACTTTATAGAAATGAATGTTCTATACAACTTGTACAAACAAAGTAATGTTGCAACCATTTGAATAAAGCACAGTAAGATACCATGTAGAAATCTCCATGAGAAATATTTGAACCTGTAAAAGATTTTTGAATAAAAACAAGAAATATTAATTAGTAGAAAGTAACTAAAATTAAAAAAGAATGGTTATGTAAAAAGTAAGATAGCATCCATATACATTAATAGCTGAAATATTTAACTTTTTTTAAAAATATATTTTTATTAAAAAAAAATTTAAAAGAAAAGAACAGAGAGAGAAGAAAAGAACTTGAAAGTAACAAAGAATTCTATTAATTAAAGTAGGTTCACAGGATATTTCAATTGTTATAAATTTATGTTATTGTTGTGAATATATTAATTGTAGATTTATCTCCGTAGGTAAATTTCAGTTGTAACTGTTACCTTTTTGCGCATTTATACTGTTAATTAAATTTTATACATATTTTTTTATTTACAAGTTAGTTTTACACTAAAATAATGTAATCATTAATGTAAATATAAAACACAACAATGTAACAGTATATCAAAACACCGTTTGAAGGTAATGAATAAATTTAGAATAATATTTCATCATCAGCCCACTGCAGTCCACTGCTGGACATAGACCTCTCCCAGGGCACGCCACTGGGCACGATCTTCAGCCCTTCTTATAATATTTATTCGTTTTCATTTTCTCACGCAAACGAAATTAGCCCCACATATTAAATCTTACGCAGCAAGCCATACATTATAGCTCTATGTTATTTATGTTAAACCTTATTATTATAAACACGATAATGTATAAAATAGAGTATGTACGTATGGTATTCACAGAAAAACTACAAAAACGATATTTATGAAATTTTACAGTAATATAGCTTATACTTACATCAGAATAACATATAGACTATAATTTAGAAGGATATCATGTAAATTGACCAAAATATGATAAATGTCAAGTAAATGAGTAAGTGTAAGTACTAAAACCGATTTTGATGAAACTTTCAGTAATATAGCAGATACATTAGAATAATGCATAGGCTATAATATAAAATGATATGACGAAATATAATGATAAATTTCAGAAAAAATCTCCCATCTGTGGGCTATTCTGGTGTGTGCTGCAAAAACCGTTAGAGCTAATCTTATACATATAATATATTATGGATTTTTTTTTTAGAAATATGTGCGGGAAAACATATGTCTGTCTTTTATGTGTTAGCCATCATCTCCAGTGTAGTATATTGCACGAGACTTATGCTTTTTTAAGTAAATTATCTTGTGCTTTAAATCGTACCTCATATTCGAAGAATCTTTCTCTAATAACCCCATAACGGGATTCAAACCCAAACATTGTCCACAGATTAAGATCCACTTCATTGAATCTTGAAACAAAGCATACTGATCTCTTATATCGTCGCTCTTATAACCCGTTATATCTAAAATATCAAAAAGAATAAAGTATGTAATAAACAATTGTTAGACTAATTAGTATCTACTTGCAAAAAGATTACATTTCAACAGCAAAATACAGGATAAGAGCTTTAGACATCTTGGACCTCTGGAATGGCAAAACATTAGTTGTGGGCGCTACATGTTGTGCTATTCATGTATATATATATATGTTTATTTTGAGTTGCCATTGTGGTTAGAGGTTAGGCCAGCCTAGACACTGGGTTACCGTGTCTAGTTGTTTCCAGGCTCGCCGCGGGGAGGCTACTATCTCGCACCTCTAACATATATAACCTTAACCTAGATGGGCCGCTACAGGTTCAACTTGGTAAAATGGGGTGTCGCTTCAAGGGAGGCTTGTGACTGCGGAGCGCCATCCCAGACTATGACCGATCTGTTGACGTGTCCTTTGTGCCCAAAATCCTGCTCGAAGGAAGATCTAAAAAATGCGGCCGAATGCGCAAAAGTCGTCGCAACATTCTGGGGAAAATATATTTAGTTGCCGTTGAAACGAAAGAAGAATTGTACTTTTTGCCACGTACAACCACATTGTGGAATCACCTTCCAGCAATGGTATTTCCGAACCGATACTATATTGAAATCTTCAAGAAAAGAGCTTATTCCTTTTTAAAAGGTAATAATGTATTGCCACTTGCCATCAGGTGGTATGTCAGCATCTTTGCCTTTTCCAAATATAAGAAAAAAATGTAAGTTTTAAAAATGCTAAAAAGATGAACAAGCAACAATTTTATTTTTAATAAAGGCAAGAGATTGATGTTATGTCTACAATGTCATCTGCTCCGAGTAACTCGGTCTTACGTATTTCAGTATCAAGTAGCTTGCTTTATTAGCTGTGTGGTTAGATGTGCTAATAAAGTCACAGGATACTAAAGCATTAGAATTTAGTCGTAAATGGCACTACAAGCATCACGTAACAACTAGATCCGTGGACTGTTCATGTATACAGGCGATGGTTATCAAAAGTTACCATTTACCATCAGGTTCATCTGCTTCTGTATTGTTACGGTTCTATAAAAAAAGACAATAGGGACCCGAAATTTTCTCTGGTGCGCCCCCTGTTTCAATCTAATCTTGATTCGTTTTAAATAGACTTGCCCATTTAAATTATTTTAATCTGTTTACTTCATTATCACTATCTTGTTTCAATTCCAACTTTTCACATAATTTTCTCTGTTTTTTATTCAGATAAATGTACCGTATCTTATATATGTATAGTTTATATTTTTAAATATGATGCAGTAGTATAATTAAGAAAATCACATATTACCACGTTTTATTCGTATTTATTGAGTTCCCAATATTTCGGCGGAAGGTGCGGCTGACCAGTCTCTAAACAGCCTTCGGTCAGGAACGCCTGACGACTACCTAAACAGTCTTCGGTCAGGAGTGCCTAACCACTACTTAAATAGCCTCCGGTCAGGAGCGCCTGACATCTACTTAAACAATCTTCGGCCAGGAGCGCCTGACAACTCCTTAAAAGTAAGTCTTTACTCCTGATCTATTGGGTTTGAAAGACAGGTAAATAGTAAATTATGGGCAGACATTTTCGTCTACCTCCACCTGGTTTCGTTTGTTGCTATTTTCGTAGTGAATTCAATAGTAACAAATAAAACGTGGTAAATTATAGTTATTTTTAAATTTTAGGTATAAAACGCACTATAATACATACCTTTAATTGTAGCCCATTTTTCTTGAGGTCTCGCAGTTGCACTTCCTTCGCGTCTGTAATAAAAAATACCGTATAATTGCGCCTTTCTGATACTTATCTACTTCATATATATGTTTTTTTATTATTGAGGAGTTTAAGCAATAACAAAATATTTTAGACCTATAGCACTGCGACCATCATAGATTTAGTACCAGCCTTTTATTCAGATTATTCTGCCAGTGCCCGTCAGAAACAAGAAGATTTTCTTAGGAGCGATGGATATAACTCTATTTACTTACCGATTTTTTTCTATAGGATATTTGAGATGTAACGATTTAAAGTTTATTTTCTCCAACTCGTTATACAGATTGGAGTGAGAATGTTCTGTAAAAAGAATATATTTAATTTAAATTAACTTATATGTATTTATACGTATACAAAATAATCTTCATCTTCTATATCTGTAAGCTTATAACGGTATTATTACTTAATTTGTAAAAATTTTAATATGGTACATTATTAAAATTTTTACAAATTAAGATTTTATTTAAATAATCTAAATTAAGATTTGATTACTTAAACATATATAAATACTGAGACTGCATGTATCAAGGCATATTGTGAAAGATGCAGCTAAAACTGTTTTTCAAGGCCAATTTACACAAATCGAATATGTTACCTATATTATATTTAAGTTAGTAAGAAAAAATAAAAGGCTATGAATATATATATATATATACATACATATATCAAGAAAATATTAGCATTCTGCGCTCCTTTTCTGTGAAAAACAATAAATATGCGAATTTTCACACTCGAAATATGTATATTTTAGTCCGCACAATTTTCGTAAAAAAGGAATAAAAAGTTTTTGCTTTACGTATAATGCTTATATAATACTATTACACCCGTGTGAAACCGAGGCATGCAAATAGTACAAAACAACGAACCATACCAGAAGATTGAACAATGATGCTAATTGGTTTTACTTCATTCATATTTACTGCAAATGAGATGTGATTCCACTTGATAATACTCCAACACTAAATACAAGTGGATATCATTCTTTTAATATTTGATCGTCCTGTCATATTGTTGTTCTGATTTATTATTACAATTACCAGTTCGATATTTTAACGTTGTCATTACTTTATTTGAATTGTTGTGACCTTTAGGAAGTTCTCTATGAAAATATTATACACTAGCTGACCCGCGTAACTTCGTCTGCACACTTACTTGATATTTATCGTTATATTTTGCTCAATTACCATTATATATTTTTAAATTATAGCCTATGTATAATGGATTTTTATGAAAATTTACATTAAAGTTTTATCAAAAGCTGTTCAGTAGTTTTTACGTGAAAAAGTAACAAACATCCATCCATACTCACAAACTTTCGCGTTTATAATGTTTGTAAGGCAAACTGAGCTCGCGATTTCGCATGTCTAACCTTAAAACCTTAAAATACAAATACAAAATTTTAAGTGAACCTTACAACGTACATTAGAGAAATTTGTAAACTAATCGGTTAACCAGTTTTTATTTATTTATTTATTTAAAACTTTATTGACCAATAAATTATGGTACAAAAGGCGGACTTAATGCTATTGGCATTCTCTACCAGTCAACCTTCAGTTTTTTAAGGTTTTTTTTTCTACACATTTATAAAAATATATTTATATATATATATTATAGGTTATACTCGCGTTAATTTTCAATAAAAAATATACCTTATATGTTATTCTGATGCATAAGCTATTTTACTGTAAAGTTTCATCATATTCCGTTGACCAGTTTTTGCGTGAAACAAACATCCATACTCACAATTACTAACTTTCGCGTTTATGATATTATATTAGATCTATGCTTTTCTTTAGCTAGCAAATTCAAATACAAATGCGAAAACAAAAATTCTAAAATGCAATGTTTCGGGTTCTACATTTCAATAATGGTTTTTCTCATATATGTATTTCATATCCTTTATGTACAGATACCTACAATTTTTATTATATCATATGATAGATACGTATATATAATAGAATCATATATATTTTTTATCATTTTTACTCACATGATTATACCTACTTTATTGAAATTTCGGGTTAGTTCTCTTCAATTTGATTAATGTAAAGTAAACTAAATTATTATTTACGATATTTAATGAGATTGAGAGTGTCGAAGCTTGAGGGTTTATTAGTAGTCATTTCGACGGAATTGTCGGCGTTTGAATCTGGCCAACATCAAAACATAACAATGATATATTCAAAATTTGTTATATTAAGTTTTAATAAAAATACTTTTAGAATAAAAATTAAAACTAACTCTTTGCCACGACATCGATTGCTTTTTTAGAAGGAAGTCTAATTTTATTTCATTAAGATCTGTATTGTCGTGAAAAGGTAATATATACACATTTTCGTATTTACAACATGCGTGTAAGTATTGGGCTTTCAATCACATTTTTATATAAAAATGTGAGTCGTGGCTTTATCACTAAAACATTTGCTACATGAATAATATTCGTCTCGTCTTGTTACTTTACCTGAAACATTACAAAAGATAAAGCTTGAAGGGTTTTATGGTTAACGCTTTGTTAACGGTCCATTAAATTTACCTTGTTCTACTTATTTTAACGAAATGGAATATTTTGAGACAGTTTAACTAAGGTGCTTCTCCATTTTGTTTAATAATCACTCAAGATGACGTTATTTCTTTTATAACTAAACAAACAGCGACGTCTAACCTGAGTTTGAAGAAAAAAATGGCAAAGATTTAATATATTTTAAAGAATATAAAATATTTTCATTAAATTCTCGATAAGTAAAACTAAACATACTTCGACGAAAACTGAATATAATTTCATTCATAAATATTATTTTAATAAATATAAATATAAAAAGGTTGCATATGTCGTTTCAGTTCAAAGTTATTTTAGCTATATACGTAGTTCTATCGAACAAAAAAAAATAGTTATTTTCACATGAATGGTATATATACGTATATCATGGATCTAAAATTGTACCGCTATCATCTGTTTAAAGGAACTTTAGCCGTCCCCCAGGCTAACATACAATAATTTGTCTCTGCTCTTTTAAGATACCAAACGACAGCAACTGATTACGGTCTCTTACTTTAAATACAAAATTTATTTACTCCATTGCAGAAAAAGAAAATATAAATACATAGATAGATAAATTATTTATTTAGCAATTAAAAACACAGCATTATTAAAGTACATAAAAATATACAAATAAAAGAAATGGATTTAGCTTTATATGACACAAAGATGAAGCAGCAACTATCTCAGCAGAATAATAATAATTAAGACTTTATTGGCAAAGTTTGGCATTATGTGGTTTATAAAATCTGATGCAAATCGGTGTAACTTTTGGAATAGACCTCTCCATTGAACTCTGTCTTCCGCAACCCTATTCCAGAACGGTTCCAGAGCAAGTTAGATACCGTCTCTCCAACGTAACGTAACGTCATTCCAATATTCTTTGGCGAACTCATAAAGTGACAGATAAAACGGCAGATAAACGCTAATATGCTGATGCTCTTATACTTAAAAATATAACTGTATATTAGGTCTTCCCCGTGAATTATTCCGCGTGGAACTTGTTTATTATTATAATAAAATAAGAGTCCTTACATAAAAGTAGCCGAAGCTACTCCTTATAACATTTGTCATCTGCTAGTAAAAGTCCCGTCAAAATCGGGTCATGTCATGTTAGTAAAAGTCCCGTCAAAATCGGTCCAGTTGTCTCCGGGATTAGCAAGAACAGCGAACTTTGTATAGACTCTCCTGGTAAATTCTTAACCCCTAATAATCATGAATAGAAACAACTTATTTGAAAATTGTCAAATTCATGGCTGAAGTTTTTAATAAAGTTACAAAAGTGTTAGCGGCGTATTATGTAAACTGGGGTAGTTCTGCGCGCTGCCAATATTCCAAGGATTTGCATAAACTGTGGCATTTGATATTGAAATGTAAATGGGGTCGAGCCGGACCCAATAACATAATCTTGGATATCACACCGACCCTATATCAGACGGATGCTGTTACCGGTAAGTGATAAGGACACACTTCAGACCTTCACGTACTCGTATTACGTTTACTTAAAACAAGCTCTTACCCGCAGCTTCGTCTGATTTTTCTGGCCGCTGGCTTTTAGTGCTCTAATAAAAGATATATATAAGATATGTTCTCCCTATTTATGCTATCTTTACACCAATTTTCTTTAGAATATTTTCAGCCGTTTAGCCGTGAAAAGGTAATAAATAAATAAATAGTTATTAGTTATTTTTAGCGAAGGTGGTCTAGCAGTTTAACACGCCGTTTTAATTCCGACGGTCACGTGTTCGATTCCGCAAACATTTATATTCATGAGAATTATTGTTTATAATGGTATGGGTGTTTTTACGTCTATTATAGTTTTATATATATTAACATCAGTTGTCCAGTACCAAACACACGGTTCGCTTAGGTTGAAACTAGATGGCGTATGAATTATCTAGAATTACCAATATTATTATTTCTAAAACTTACAACTTTTAAATATTGCTGTTCTAATATGCACAGTAACATTGCTTATCTAAGTTTATTTTGTATGAAATTACAAAGCTAAATAAATTAATACTATCTGGTGGAATGTAGCAGACATCACGTATCTATGTATATGAACAATATGTAACGTCAAAAACAATGTTGTCTTATTTGAAACAATGTATTTCAGTTAATGAACATCCACATTTGTTAAATAGAAATTGCAAATGGTAGCAAATATACATTGTTACATTGCTTATTTCTAAAACCTGCAGAATTCAATGGTATATTACAATATAACTACAGAAAAGGCAGAATTAAAATTTAAAACAGATTAGTAGAGTTACGAAAGAGGAACCTCAATTTTGAGAGTTTTTGCAATTTTTTTTTAATAATGCAGTGTTATACAGTATATATAGATATACGTCCTTCCTCGATAAATGACAAATACAACACTATTTGTTTCAATTCGTAACCCATAGTTCCTGACACAAACGACAATTCTCAACTATATAATATTAGTATGGTAGTCTTTTGTAAGGAAATAGAGCATAAGTTATGTTACAAAAAAAATATTTATATTATGAAAATAATCACAAAAATATTAGGGGTTTCAATTAAAAAGCAGGTAATTTTTTAAATATAGAAACTCATACAAAAATAATAGTCATATAATTATATATATTAAACATTAACTGAAACAATAAAATATTCATATCTGTACACTTAAATAAACAAGACAATACATATTATTTGAACAACACAAAATAACATGTTATTTGTCAACAAATTCTTAGATTCACTAAATATTTATATTCCATAATTCATAAATGGTTGTTTATCCATAGCAATGACATTGAAGGCTCTTAAAAAGTTCCAACACTGTAATAATATTAGTATTAAGAGAAATGTAATAAATAAATAAAAAGTATACAAATCGGTCCACAAAATGATGTGATATGAACCAGAATAAGTCATCAGCAAAATAATATGAATATGGGGGAAAACTACTCAACATAATATCCATTCATATGTAATAAATGCAAATAGATAGATCAATATAATATGGAGTTGAGATGTAAGATCATGATAATTATATTAATTATAATATTCTCATTAATATACATCATCTGTAGTCTATACTATCAAGACACTTAGAAGTGATAGTCAAAACCATTGTCAGTCGCTCAGTTATGGTAAACACAACACTTGATATTTCCACATTTTGGTCAAATTATTTTCCAAGGTCTTATACCAACTCATGACCTATGGGTTCTAAATAAAGGTAGTTTATTATGCTCTCATAGTCGATGTATAACTACAGAGTATCCCAGAAGAAATAATAGAAAATCTACATCTTGTCACGATCTTTTCTCGGTACTACAGATATTTTTGTTTTGTAATCGCGAATACTATTTCTTTAAATGCTGGCCTAAATTAAAGTTAATTACTCCAGCTTGGACTTAAATTTCACTTTGTGCCTAACCTCAAATGCAGCCTGTATATGTATGTACATGTATCGATTGCATACTTTGTATCCGACGTATTCACAATATTATTAGTTTGTAACTTTTTTTTTATAAGATAATTGAAGTAAAATAAATACTGAATTTAAAGCGATACTTACGACAACATTTGAATGAATACGCAACGAAACCGATTCAGTTATTTCGAAGATTATGCGCCAAATTGCACAGACAGACAAAATTTTCTAACAATCATTGTTTTGGGTTCTATTACATTGATAAAACCTTACAAGATAGCTTCCATGTACCTATTATTTATATTATTTACCTAAGCCAAGCCAAAAAAACATATAATGAACCATGTAGGTATCTACATCCGGCATTTGTACACAATTTCTTATTAAATGAAGTTTGAAGAAATAAATAATTAAAAAAATCTAATGTTCCAATGGAAGAAACTGTTGGAAACTCCAAAAGTATTATTTGCCTTCAGGAATTCCATTAGGAAGTTTTATTAGCAAGATGGAGACATGAAATCTAAACGTTAAAAGAAATTACTGGAGTTTACGTAATCCTAAGTCAATATTATACTTGCTCATTGTTCTATTTAAAGTTGTATGTATTATGTTTATGTATTTTCTTAGTATTATGTATATTATGATTGTATATACAAAACTCACAAAGTTATAGGCATCGATGCGAAGGCGGGGTAAATCAGGAACAATGGTAAACAATAAAACTAACGCCTGGTATCATATCCTGTTTATTTGACAGAAAATGAGACGTAATATAACAATTTTCTCTTTGTTTGCTACGCAAATTATAATAATTATTAATTAAAAATTAATCACTAATACTGTAACATCACTAATTCATAAGTCGTAATGGTGGCAATCACCTGCAAATATAAAAAAAAAATAATAAACTTTTGAATGCAACGAATGATTTTGTATAAAATAAAATAAAAATATTTGAATAAAACCGAACAGTATTTCACGCATGCATAATAAGATCATTTAGGTTCATGTTTTTAGGCCAAATAAGAAAAATAAACATATTGAAATTTTGAATATTCGAATATTTAATAAACAAAAGAAAATAAATTGGCTGAGGGATCAGTAAATTGAAATTTTCACTGAATATTTCACTCAACCATTTCTACGTGCAAGCACAAACAAACAGTTTTTGCTTTGTCATAATTTTACGATTTTATCTTATGTGATTATGTGATAATTGTATATATATGTATATGATAGATAGATAGATATATGTATATGAGAAGATCTATTTGTGATTTAGGCGTGGGTAAACACTTACATTAAGTATAGTTTTCCGAGTTATAGTGAAAATCAATCCACTCAGCGCAACCGGAGCATATCTAATCTGCATTTGAAATCGTTGCACCTGCGCCAGTAAATGCAAATATGCCATAATACTTTCCTTAGTGGAAGTTAGCACATAACTATACTATCATAGGTAGAAGATATTGTGCGAGCGCTCATGCAGGAGGCATGAAAACTTATCAGAAATAACACCTACACCTTCACAACTTCAGCGACCTCAGTCTGGCAGTTTAGTACACCGCCTTACTTTCGATGGTCGCGGTTTCGAATCCTTGTACGATACAAATATTTGTATTTATGACTATGGTTGTTTTTATTGGAATGGGTGATGTTATATCGTATGTATTATAGAGAATAATTAAATAACTATTTCTATAAGCTGTATTGTACCCGTGACACAAGATCTGCTTAGTTTGGGACTATATGACGCTGTAGGAATTATTTTGGATAATTCATCGACATGGATAGAGAATTCTTCCCCACACGCTGGATCCTGTGGTCTTTCAGGACAGTGCGATTTCAGGGGAACTTCTTCCCGCGTACACTTAGATTGTGGAATGAACTACCTTTTTATACCCGTCTTGAATAAATCCATGCTGTAGTCTCTTGAGAAAACTTCAGCAGGTAGTTCATTCTACAATCGAAGTGTGTGCAGGAGAAATCTTCTCTGAAACCGAGACTACGTAGGTTCCAGCGTATGGGAATATATTCCATATCGATGTGAAGTGCAATGGTAATAGGTGGGGCAGGTATTTAAAAAAATATAACCTCAATAGTATACTCCTTTGATGGTACTTCGTTTAAAGCTATAAGTGGTTTCCCAGCCACTAAATGAATGTTAGCCGCCAACAGAGATGTCATGAAACATCTCACGACTAAATATCCTGTAGAGTAAATGTAGTATACAGCCCGGTACACTATTTGGGAACTTCTGTAAAGAGCAAAGTATCATATAATCATAGTATTAATACATGAAATAGAAATTTTGTACCCCGTTTTACAAAAATTTCGCGGACGGAGAAGCATTGACATAGACACACTTATAGCTTATCTAGAGATGAAGTATAGAATGCTAATATTATTTTTAATTATATATAAAAAATACATTAAATCAATATTGTTTTATTATACATATTAACATTATCTATGTAATATTGTTAAACCAAATTTTCTTTAAGATCCGTTAAGCTGTTTAGTCGTGGTAATATACAAACAAACAAGAACATTTATAATTATTAGGTTAATGAGCCTGGAAATAAAAATATTTTATTTTTAATTTCTTGACATGTCTTTTTTATTTTAATTTATTTATAGTTCGGTATTAAAAAAGACATACAACCTTAAATATTCACCCTTCTACCTTCAACTCCTATTTTTTAATTGCGATGTTTATTTATAAGACAAAACAACGTTTTCGGGCTCAGCTAGTAAAATGTATATTCATGGAATTGTACTTACTCGTCAACTGTTACATGATCACATCCAAATGTTTTGCCCTGAGCTTGTCTGAAAAAGAAATGACAAATATATCGAATCTACACTAACATTATAAAGAGGTAGAATTTGATTATTCAATAAGTGATGAAATGGACTTATGAAAAATAATATTTAACACAAAAAATAATGAAAAAATACTTACTTAATGGTATTATATAACTGAAAACATATAAAGTACAGGTACACGAAGATTGTGACGAGACTCATACTGCGTATGTGGACATCTACTTCCGTCACCAATGCCACAGCGTGAGAATAGTGCAGGCGGATTCGTTTCCAGTCTTTCTGAAATAAATAAAAATGGTCTAGTAAATCATCAGCCTGCAATAGATTGCTGTATATAGACCTCTCCCAAGACCCTGAACACGATCATCAGCCTTTCTTGTCCAATTTTTACCCGTAATCTAACGTATGTTGTCGCTCCACCTAGCTGCGGGGCGTCCTACGCTACGTTTGCCAATTCGCGGTCTCCACTCTAAAACATATCTACTCCAGCGACAATGGGTTCTGTAATAGATATGACCAGCCCACTGCCACTTCAACTTCTAAATTCGTAGAGCGAATTCGGTGACCGATCTAGTAAATACTAAACCGATATATCAATGTAGTACATATACTAGATTGATAGTAGTATTATTAGGAGTATTACAACCATGATAAAATAATATTAATTAATTACAACCAAACAAACTAAATATTGATTACCCTACAAAAAAAAATAGTTTATTATAGTTACTGCTTATACCCTTGAACCGTGCAACTTCGTATTACACTTGATATTTATCATTATATTTCGCCCAATATAAATAATATCTGTATATATTATCTATACATTTATACATATAAATAAAATTGGAGTATCTGTTTGTAATATTGAAATAACCGTTTTTTACTACATGCATATGACGTTTTTTACTACGGTACATACACCAAAATTACATTTTTTATAATTTTTGTCTGTCTGTCTGTTTGTTCCGGCTAATCTCTGAAATGGCTGGACCGATTTTGACGGGACTTTTTTTGGTAGGTATCTAATGTAATAAGGAGTAACTTATTTTATAAAAAATGATTTATTTTTGGAATAATAAAGTTAAATTCCACGCGGACGAAGTCGCGGGAACAGCTAATATTATATATATTTAAATTATAGCCTATGTGTTATTTTATAAACTATATTACTGTAAAGTTTCATCAAAATCCGTTCATTAGTTTCTGCGTGAAAGTGTAAAAAACAACCATACTTTCACATTTATAATATTATTATTAGGATTAGAATAGGTATATTTAACATTTATTCCATAAAAAAATCATTCCAATTTCTTCAGCCATTTTTACATGATCCGATTTATCTTACCATCTTTTCGCGACTGTATATAATTTTATTTAAATTTTGAAAGTAGGATACGAGATATGTACTGAAAGATATTAAAAGTACGTCGTTGAAAGTCCACAGAAATACCGCCTGTAAGTCTGCTATCTGAAACAATTTACATATAGTTATTGTCGGTTTTAAAAAGCGTGCAAACTGAGAGAACAATGTTCCTCGTATATACATATACCTACTATATTATTTTAAATATTTATATTTATTATACATATAACTATTGATGGTAGATTTTTCATAATAGTGATAAAAGATTAGTGAGCGTTATGACCTAGTGGTCTACTGCTTACTGCATATTTGTATTCACACACTTAAACTTAAATTATAAATTAACAATAAAATTATTTAAAAGAGCAACACACAAGTTTCTTGCCCGTTCTTCTTGTGATAAGACAGCTTCCCGAATGAGCGGTAGATTAAAAAAAATGTGATGACTATTCAAAAGTGTTTCAATGTAAATTTATTTGAATAAATGTTTTTCTATTCTATTCTATTCTACTGCCACGATTTGAACCGAATCTATCTTGAATCAAATGTCCGATGTCTTGAATTCAAATACGACATAAAATTATAATATTGATAACTAAAATTATTGTGCACAGAGAAGAAATACATAAACCAAAGGGAGACCCCCTTTCGTTTCGCGATAAGCAATCTCTGACAGATAACCTGGAATTTATGTTAGGTGTGAATTTGTATTCATGGCTGAATCTCCTCTACAACTACACTACTACTACTATTCCGTAGATGGGACCACCGACACAAACCAAATTGCATCCGACAACCAAATTGATCCGACAGATAGCGACAGCCTTACCGCCTGCTACTGCTATACCTTCATACATTGCAACTTCCATATTTTACTGTTTAAATTACAACACAACCTAGAAGGCAAAGCAAACTGCTAGTAGAAAGAGTTAGACGTACGTGAAGTGCATGCTGTTCTAGCTCATACATTAGAACTCACCTGCAAGAGAATTCCCATCCAGAAACTGTAAGGTATGTACCTAAAATAATCTCCTTGCGCGTAAAGAAAATAATTATTCAAATAATCCCATGCATTATCAGATGGATCCATACATTTCGATGCTAATTGTGCCAGTAGTAACACATGGAATATGTATTCCGCTGGAAACAGTAAAACTGCATTATATATAACACTGGCTGACCCCGGGAACTCCGTTCCACTTCAAAATTAAAAATAAAGGCATTTTGTATATTAGTTTAATTACTCAATAAATTGTTTATTGTGCCTGTTTCACAGGTATCAGCCGTTTGTATGGGAAAATAAAATTGTTGTCTTCACTATTTTATATGCAATTTGTTCATATTACATAACCGTTTAAACCTTCCCTGGACTTCCACGAATATTTCAAGACTAAAATTAGCCAAATCGGTTCAGCCGTTCTCGAGTTTTAGCGAAACTAACGAACAGTAATTCATTTTTATATATATAGAAGATTAAATTGCACTTCCTTTTGAACAAGAAGAAAGACAGAACCAGAATTCCTAAACCGCTAAACTGTGTCGCTCTTCGATTATTATGGCCAAAAAAAACTGCAGTTGAACTTGAGGTAATGTTTGTACAAAATTCTCTGCGTGGGTACCTGTACACGTGGTACATGGTACACTCTCACATATTTCAGTCGCCAAACAGCTTGCTTTGTTTCAATTGACGGGTAAAATAAGACAGTGAAATTACAGAATAACATTTATGACATCTTTGTCCTCCATAATAACAATTCATGAGTGGTATCACGAGCATAATATTATCGAAAACATTAAATCAAAAACCTTAGAAATTATATAATATATACAAGACCTGATTTTAATGGATCTTCAATAATTTAAAAGATTGTGCTTCTTGTGTAGTCCCATAGATCAAGATCCATAACTGTTTGACGTATCCTTAATAATGAAATTAAAATATATAGTTTTTTTTTCATAACCTGAACACGGTATTATTAACAATTACCTAGTCAGCTGAAAGACATAACCTCTACTTACCTACTAGCATACATACGACAACAATTAAAACAATGTTACACTTCCTCGCAACAGTTTCGGAAATTTGTATTTCTTTCATGCAATGTTCAATCTTTACGATATTTTTCATAAAAACAGCCCAGTTTCTTCCCAATAACATCAGCAAAAAGGCCATTACCAAATTAGTTGTGTTAAACAGTGTTAAACCTGAAATTAAAAAATAACAGTTTCACTATTCATCTTGTCGTACTTGGTGACTTTTCTATCTTATGGAACTTCATATAAATTTTAGCCGATATAAACAAGGAAATAAATACATATATACAAATAGATCTTAAATTTCATTTGTATTTTTGTTTTTAAAAATCTTCTTCTTCACAATATTTTAGTCCACTGCTGGACTCCTACATAATTTTTTTTTTTACTGACTACTCTAATGCTGTTGGCCGTAGCTGGCCTTTACAGCTTCACCGGACGTTATGGGGCGAGTGCAGATGGCACTCCAAACCCGCGGAAGGACTTATGGAGCGGCTGAAGGCCAACTCCTGCCCGACGGATACGACTTTAGTCTGAGGGCACCACTAGGGGTTCGAACCTCGGCTCAGGCCGTCGTAATTTCGATCTCCGTTTGAATTGGACGGGGGATCGATCGGAGAGGCGCCCGGGGGCGCCGGTGTGGAGCGCCCGGGCGCGCGCAGGCGCCCGGTTGAATGCGCGATATTGTGTGTTTGAGGTCGTCGTCTTCGCCGGCGAGGACGGTGTCGTGTGTGTGTGTAAAAGTGTGGTCGGGGTGGAACGGGTGGGCCCGTGGGCAGGTTACCTGCCGTTATGGGGTCGTCGGGGTCAATGAGAACGTGCCTCGGGCGACGTTGTCGCGTATGTCGGATATTACTCCTCGGTGCGTAGTCGACCGCACTGACTATAAGCGGATTAGGGTGGGATTGGGCAGAGTCGAAGTAGCGTCGAGACGCTTCCTTCATAAACTGCTTGATGGAGGGCAGATTAAGATCGCGGTGGAGATCTACGCTACGAACGAACCACGGCGCACCGGTGGCTCGACGCAGAAACCTATTCTGAATGACCTGTAGTCTGTTGATTAAGCAGTAGGGTATGTGGGCGAATACGGGACTAGCGTAGGTCATGATGGGACGGATGCAAGCCTTGTATAATGTCAGCTTGTTGCGAAGCGACATTTTACTGTGCTTGTTAATAAAAGGATAGAGTCGCCCTAGTATAAAGGCGGCTCGGTCGCGGACACGCTTGATGTGAGGACGAAACGTTAGTTTCCTATCTAGGGTGACGCCGAGATATTTCGTTTTCGAAACCCACGGGATGTTTTGGCCGAATAGTTCGATCGAGTGATTCATAGAGTCGAATTCCCTGCTAAAGTACACTGCTGCACTTTTTTCGGGATTGACTTCTATGCGCCACCGACGGAACCATTCGCCCAGTATCGTTACGGCTTTCTGAAGCCGTCTGGCTATTGTCGCACGGGACTTGGCGGATGTAAAGAGAGCCGTGTCATCGGCAAACAGCGATATTTCGACTTTTAAGTCGGAGAATTTGGGGTCCTACATAATTTTCCACCAATTTTCTTGTCCAGTTCGGCCCTCTTTTTTTTGACACCGTCCAACCATTTGGCAGCTGGTCTGTCTACACTTTTGCCTTCGATCCTAGGTCACCACATTAGAGATGTATGTCCCTCTCTCATCTCTGATTCAACATACATGACCGGCCCAACGCCATTTTTAGCTGTGCGATTCTTTTTATGATGTCGGTAATTCTAGTGCGTCTTCTAATATCGATATTTCGTAGTCTCGTAAGGATATTGAGTATCGATCGCTCCATTGCTCTTTGGGCGACTTGTAGCTTATTGACTCTTTCGGCGGTTAGCGTCCACATCTCACAAGCGTATATTAGTAATTAAAACGATAGTTCAGAGTATAAACGCTTACACTATATACAGAATTATCGGAGCAACATTCGAATTAAGAACATCACCATTTATTTTTAAATCCGTATATATATCATAATGACATCAGACATACTTACTCAAAGTACGTAAATTAATATCTGTTTGTATAACCGTATAAAAAGTTATTAATGTGATAGTAATTTGTCCCAATAATGTAATTATGTAGTAAATAGTATAACCGGACAGTAAATTAAATCTGCAACAAAAAAATATATTGTTAATTTGCGACATAGAGCTACAAAAAAAAAACAAATTTGACGAACAATAAAGTCAACACTCAACACTAAAATAACATTTGACTAGAATTTTAAAGTATTTTTTTAATAGATGATAATAGAATGATCGACCAGCCTGCGCTAACTGTATATGCTGACGGGACTTCAGTGGAGGATGATAAGATGAATAGGTCAAGTTGGCCAGTCCATCGTGGCATATTCAAAAGGAATTTATCACGATAGTTTCCAGGGGAAAACGCGTCGAGGTCAAGCTGACATAGTACATTGCTAGCAATAAGATTATTATTCCACAATACTAACAAACCCTTCCCCCTAAATAAAATAAATAAAGTAAATAATATACAATAAATGCACAAAGACCTCAATTTTGTCCAAGAAGGTTGATCCAAACCTTCGACTGGAAATAATCCCATCCACCTGCAAAAGCGCATAGATCTTCGGAGACAGTTGTGCATCTCACATTTGTCCAAATGATGGCTGCAAATGTAATATCAATAAAATATTTGCATAATATATGTACAACAGGACTGTTAATATGTTTTAGATGATAATTTCATTCTTTTTATAAACTTTTTATTTTTGATATCTACTTTTTTATGTCACTTTTGATTTCTTTATATGTTGCTGTTACTTTTCGCTGTGAGCCCTTTTGGGAAATATACACATTTATTACTACTATTCTGATTTTTAATAAAATAGTCGTTATGTTTACGCTCCAGATCCTTTTTCTTTCATTTGTTTCTATCACAGATAGAAACAAATGAAAGAAAAAAAAAGAAAAAAACTCATTGTTTTATTAAAGTTTAATAACAAACCCAATCTTAACTAAGCAACATAATGATATTTGCAATGTCATCTGATTTATTGATTGACAAGAGATGACAGAATTATGCAATGTAACAAATATTAAAAAAATAGACTGCACATAAATGCAAAGGGTATTATCGATGGATAAAAAGACATACAAAGTATCTCACATATATGTAATGTTTAGAAAAATATTCCATATTGAAATTCTCTCCTCATCTATACATATAAATAAAATTAGAGTGTCTGTTTGTAATATTGAATTATAATTACAATTTTTGAATTGAATTACAATTTTTGTCTGTCTGTCTGTCTGTTTGTTCCGGCTAATCTCTGAAATGGCTGGATCGATTTTGACGGAACTTTTTTTGGCTGGTAGCTGATGTAATAAGCATTAACGCCTAAGTTAATTACTAAGTTACTTTTATTTTTGAAAAATAAAGCGTAGATCCGCGGACGAAATAGCGGGTACACCTAGTTATTAATTTAGTTAATCGAGTCTGAACATGAGTATCAACTGAATATTTTATTTTGAAATAGGTGTAATTTATTTTAAGACCCTAATTAATTACAAATTTAATTACTTACCGTTTATTCTTAGTTTTTGTTGTATTGTTAGTCATTAAAATTTCCATGATTGTATTCTGAAAGCATAAAATTTATATAGCATATCACGTTTCTGTCAAATCAAATCAAATAATAAATCATTTATTCCTGTAGGACATTTTAGCCGCTTAATAACGTAATTTTTTTTGTTAATTAATATTTTTTCCCTACCGTTTGTCGTTGACTACAATCAAATAGTCGTGTAGACTAATTTACATTACCAATCTATATTACATAATAAAGTCTAATATTGTATATGAGATAGTTTGTGTCTGTCTGTATATCACCGTTCACGACAAACGGCTAAACGGATTTTAATGAAATTTGACATGAATATTGTATAATGAGGGTAGACATAGAGTATCTGTGATCTCTAAATAAGGAGATGAAATCCCGGGAAACTGTTAGTTTATTAAAAAATGTATTTCCAGTGGAAGTAAATTTACAAAGTTTTCTCAAACATTTGCCTGCTTTATATCTTACTTCTTTCAAATAACACTTAGAAGAAGAAAGAGAAAATCATATTTGACTATATGATATTACCGCTCACTTTACTTTTACCTCCAATTAAACTTACTGACTGAAGTTATCATAATTGTTTCGTTTAGTATCAAAAGTAACCTCCGAGTGCTTACTATGTACAAGGTACAAAACATCAGTAACGATCTACCATCATTTATTATTCTATAATTATAGAAAAACTGACATTTTCATTATTGTAATGAGCCACTTAACTTTTATTGGTATTAATTGTGGCTTTATTTTCACTGCACGATAGTTAAACTGCGATATGTCAATATAGCATCATTTATTATACTGTAAATAAAAAATACCATAAATATGTAGATATATCGCGGGTGAAACTTAAAGAAAAATTGTTTTATTATATAAAATTATTTATCTTTGTATTAAACACAATCTTAATCTTTACGTCGTATTTCATCTTCAGTTTGTTATCCGATTGCCTGTTCTTTTTTAAAGAAATAGGCAATGAAAAGAATAATTATAAATCTGGACAATACAGACCACGTAATCTAGTCCCAAGCTAAGCAGATGGCTTGTGTTATGGCTACTAGACAACTGATGTAAATACTAAGATTCTTTTTGCAGATATATACAAAATCTATGTTCATTAAAACACCCAAACAGATACAAACAATCCTACTGAAGAGCACAAACGCTTGTACCCTATAAGAATCGAACCCGCTTCCATCGGAAGTAAAGCGGTGTGCTCTCTCCACATATATAAATTATTATGCACGTACAGTATACCAGATTTATTTGTTTATATTTTTTATATATACAGACAATGATCATATACATTTTTATTATATATATTTGTACATGAAATAAAATAATTCCTTGATAAATTTGTCATTCATAAAAATGTCATAAAATAGAAATACGACTCGCTTAATAAAAACCACATGTTTAAAGATGAAAGATAAATATGTCAAAACGTTAAATGTCCTCCCATAAATGAATTGACAAACAATATATTTCCCTGATAATACAGACATCAGTATAGATTTATATCTATCAGTATCAGTACCAGTATCTACGTCATTATTATGCTGACTTCTGTTGCAGTCATGTCGAATTCTCATAAATACTCGTTTATGGAAAAATCGAATAATAATGGAGAATTTTTCAAATGTGTTAAACCGATTCTAGTAATATGTAGGTATATGGGATTGTGGCCAGTTAGTGGAACTAAAAATAAAAGGTAGGATAGGTAACAACTGCATGACCCTGTTTAAAAATTAGCACTATATCGTATTATATTATATTATCTGTGCCCGTGGTTTTACCGCGTTAAATTTCTAGCCTATATATTATTCTGATGTATAACTATATTACTGAAAAGTTTCATCAAAATACGTTAAGTAGTTTTTTCGATAAACAAAAGAACATCCATAATAACAAACTTAAGCGTTTATAATATTATTAAGATTAATATTGTTAATATCTATGTTGTTGTCTATCTATGATGGACTGGTAAAAAATGGGCAGGCTGTAAAGCCCGACAAATGTACTATTGTATTGCGTGCATAAAAGTTAAATAAATAAATACTGTTTATTATTTTAACAATCTGACTGCCCATTTTATGGAAAGTGTTACAATAACAAAATACATCCACGTTTACCAAATAACAATATATAAATAAATTATCCTGGACAGCGGTATCTAGTACCACGTACCATAAATACATAGAAAATCCAGACTGATATAAACAGTAATACTCATGAATACAAAAGTTTACACCATGCAAGGAATCGAACCCACGATCATCGGAAGTAGAGCAGTGTGACCAGATTTACCAGAGATAACTTGGTAAGAAGTCGTCTGCGTGAGTGCCTTTGCCTCAACTATTTCAGCCGCCGAGCAGATTCGGTTGGAAGGTTCTTACCGTGTAATTACATGACTGTGAAATTACAGTCTTCTGTGGTGGCAGCGAGCACGAGGGTACCACGGGCGTCACTTGATGACGTCATGCTGTTTATGCATATGGGCTATCGCTTATTCGCCATTCTGGATTTTATACTTTAATTATATGTACTGTTTTTTGACGCGGTCATTATTTATATGTACAATTAGTAAATTTTAATTGTATATTTTACAGTGTATGTATACAGTTTCAGCTTCAAGTGGACATCTCCTTATTTATTATTTATCTACACACCGACAGTATTTCTCCAGTTTATAGTTGCAATCGTGACTATTTATGACTTTTTCGCTAATGGTGCCGTTCTTAGTAAGCTACGTAAGTTTGAATTGCTAATTAATATATATAAATATGTACAATTAATATATATAGTACTGTGTCATCGTCTTCACCATCTCCCTGATCTTATCACATATATAATCTCACTAGCAGTACCGGCAAACGTTGTTTTGCCATATAAATGTAAGTACTAATATCGATATTCAAAAATAGGGGTTGGTGTTGGTGATTGATCGATCGCTGGGCGACCACACACATATATGTATATATATAAAAAATCAAAATAATAAAAAAAATGTTAGTAGACAACCCTTATCATTTAGGGGTATGAAAACAAGATAGTAGCCGATTCTCAGACCTACTGAATATGCATATAAAATTTCATAAAAATCAGTCATGTCCTGTCGAAGGAAAATGGTAACTAACATGTGACACGAGAATTTTATATATAAGATGTAATGTATTTTGATTCTTAGCACTATAGTTTTAGACTAAGTTTTAAGACTAGCAGCTTTAACATGTTGGGCACGTAACTTCGCTTTCAAACAATACCTCTTTCAGTAGTGCCTCGCAGTCAGCGTTAGCGCATACGGGTGTACCATTCCATTATCATCCATAAGTCTGACCTTTTCGTTCTCTCAGTATAATACACTCCAAAAATATTGTCAATAATCATCCTTAAAAAATCTAGAAATTAGATACTATGTTGTCTAAAATACTGATTACTATGTGGCAGAAAAACTGTTGTTGCCAAAGATTGAACGTGCTCCGAGCGACAGCGTGTTCATTGGCCAGAGCGTCGTCGATAGGGCTTGATTAATATTTTTGTCTCTTTCTGATTCATCACTAAGGATAGGGATATATAATATATAAGGAATAAAGAATATTTTTCTTTACAGTACTCACAGTATATTTCGCGGCTGGATTTATATCCTCATTTTATGTCATTTTTCTGGCAAAGAACTTTTCTACACTATGCAAAAAAGTGGAATCTATAGAAAACCAATTACCAATACCCAAAAACAATTTTTTTGTGGAGCACATCAATAAGTTCCTTATTCTTTTCTCTCTATTTGTTGTTGGTGAGTAAAAATTTATGTAAATTATTTCATCCTAATATAATATATAAATATAAAATAATGACTCGACATTGTCCTGTCTGAACTATGAATATTAGATACGCATTGCTATAATTATCACTAAAAATTCTAAGACCATTGTACATAGTAGGCATATGACGAAACAGCCTCGGTGGTCGAGCCCAGTGGTTCCCAAATAGTTTTTGCTGCGTACCACTTCAAAAAAGACCTCAAACCTTGCGTACCCCTTATTGTAGAAATCACACGTATATTATAATTTCTAATATTCGTGTGATAGTTTTTGTCACAAACTTTAGCCGCACGTACCCCTTGATACAAGTTCACGTACCACTAACACACCGCTTTACATCTAATTCGCGGGTTGAATGCCACGCACGGTGCATTCGTATCCATTAGTATGATTGTTTGTATCACTCTGGGTATTTACTATGTATATTTACAAAAGTAATATAAGTATTTATATCAGTTGTATGTATGTTATGTTATCTGTGCTAGTACTCATAACACAAGCTCTGCTTGGATTGGGACTAGATGACGTTATAAAATAATATAATAGTTGTGTGAATTGTCCAGACAATTCTACTACTATTATATTATATACTAGGTATTATTATTATTATTATATTATAAACATTACATTATAAACTAACTTTTCTAATATTCCACATATATGTACAGACTACAGACTTCAGTTAACTAGCAGTTAATTTACACTTTACACATAAATTATAAAAAAGGGTGTATTTTGTATTCTAGGTTCTTTAGTATATTCATAATAATAATCTCAGGAAAATTCATACAGCGCCATCTAGACCCAAGTTAAGCTAGCTAAAGCTTCTATTATGGGTACTAGACAACTGAAACAAATAGTTAGATATTTTTTTTCGTAAATACATACATAAACAATCATACTCATGAATACAAATGTTTGTGCCTCGAACTGAATCGAAACCGCAATCATCGGACGTAAAGCGGTGTGCTAGACCGCTAGACCACCGAGGTCATATTTTCTTTCTTATAATGACATAGTAGTGACAACTCGAAAACTGTCTGTTTGTATGTTTTTTAATGTATCATACGTCACTTTTTCATATCAGCGAGTATAATCATGTATTTAAATTTCAGTTGACTACTTTGTCACCATGTTTCACCTAATTATGATGACAACAACCTGCTTCCCATCAAACGACGGATCTGGTTTTAGTTTAAAAGCATATTTTATTTACATTAACGCTGTAATATTTCAATACATCGATTTCAGTTACACGGCGGCTTTTATGTTGGATGTAAGTTTTGAGAATATAATTTTATGTTATTTGAATAACAAACAGATTGACAGTCCACCTAGTGGTAAGTGGTAAGCTATATACATGAACAGTACCACGAACAACAAGCGATGCTTTAGGTTCTAGGTTAGGTTTAGGTAGATCGTCATCCCGATGACTAAATTTTACTGACATTTCTCAACCTGCAACGGAAACACGGCTTACAATGAAACGGCTTTGAGTTGGCTGAAATGAGACTAGGGCACCCACTCAAAATCTGTACAACAAGACAAAGTATCTATAATAGATATAATTAAGAAAGAAAGGTGTTTCTAATAAATGAAGAATGGTGTTTTTGTTATTAATTCAGTTTTGTCGCAACATTATTTTTAAATATATACTATTTATTTCATACTATTACGGGCGACGTGCCTGTCCCGGGATCGCATGTGTGTATTTAGGTTACTACATAAGTACTAATGAAAGAAACTCCTATACGATTTTTTCGAACAAAGGATATCTGAAGTGATGAATTTATATACTTTTAGCAATAAAATTTTATTTATATAGGAAACTGTTACCCATTGTTGGTGTTCTTTTTTACAAGATAATGTAGTACATATCGTTCGTGATATCTATAACATATTCATGTTAAATTCCATTAATATTCGTAAAGTTTATATATTATAAATTATTTTCTCTATATATTATCTCTATAGTCACTTAATTTAATTAATTTGTTTTTGAATGAATACAAAAATAATTTTATTATTTATTTAATTTATAATTTTATTCTATTATTTTAAGAATTAAACTTATAGTTGTATAAGATGTAATAATTTTAAATATGACATTCTAGTAAATGTACTTATTTCTATGTACTAATGAAATACAATTGTAATATTTTAGTATTATATATTACTTATTCAAATTACGAATAGGCTTAGATAACTGGCCACCTATGTTTCGAATATAATTCCATATTAAAAATTTTGTAGATACCTAAAGTTCAAACATTATTCGTTTGGGACTTTAACAACCTAATCGTGTCGATAAGCAGCTTGTATTTGGAGAATCGATTTTCGAATTTAAATCGAATATTGGTAGAGGAACAGAAAAAAGTAAGTACATTTTAAATTTAGAATTCGATATGGCAAATCAGAGCGTGAATACTGGCAGTATCTTTTGGATAAAAAATAACAATTGTAACGTTGACATTTTATTGTATAATTATATTTAACAAGTTTTAAAACAAAAGTAATTAATTTATTCATCTGTCTATTCCGATTTTGCATGGCTTTCTTAAATATAAAAATTATGCAAAACTTTTGACTTAAAACGAAGAGTAATTATACAAAATTTTCACTGTTCAAATCTTCCCGTCTTTCTGTTTTTTTTTTATTTGTGAAAAATATATCCAGCATAATGTGGACATGTCAAAATGTCAAGTTAGCGTTCACCATGATGTCGATACTTTTTTTATTAAATGGATGATAATGGAATTGCGGAACCGCCTGAACTAACGGTATACGCTGGCAGGGCCAGTGGAGGGATGATCATACCATGTCATGTCATTGTGTGTGAGTACGAAGTCAGCTCAGGTAGCCCAATACGGCAAATTCTCTACAACCTCCCCAACATCGAGGCCACTTTCATACTTCCTCTAATATATTCATTCTTTATGTCACGCGTTCTTATCATACCACACATCCAACTTAAAATAGGCCATTTTTAATACATCCGGAAATTAATCATTTCACAATAATCCGTTAATTACAACAATATACATACAAATAAATAACAATATTTTGAAATCATATACATACATTTAAAAAATTATTATTTAATTATATAATTGATTAACTATAATTAATGTCCTCAGTAATTGACTATTCATTAATTATAGTTTCAAATTTCAGCATTCACAAACTGAGAAATTCGACTGGAGTGAGCTACGCGTACATTACACTCTCCTTACGCAATTAGTCAAAATCGTCGACAAGCACATAAATCCTATAATCTTTGTAACTTACGGTGGCAACCTATTCTTCATCTGTCTACAGTTCTTTTCTGTTATCGAGTAAGATTTTTATTGTCAATAAAAATATTTTAAGTATATAGCTATCCATTTCGAATATTTCAGCGGCCGCAGATTGCTTTGTAAGATGTGTTTTACTTAAAGGTTTGTATGGTAGAGAAATTACAAGGTACGGAAGCGTAAACTACTAATTTGTTTTTACACTCAGCCGTTTTTGGATGTGCGACATCGCGCCAGTCGAAGTCACAATTGGGAAAACAAGCATCTGATCAACTGTATACAAGCGGCCTTATACTGGAAGATCCTTTAACCAATTAAATGAACTTTTGCAAAATAATACATAATTTAATTAACTATTCCCATTAATATTAATGTGCTAATTGTTTTATGTTTCAGAAGAAATAGTGCCACTGAATTTGTACATTTGCCACCGTGCATTATCAACTATACGTAATTATATTATTATATTAATATATTTTATATAATTTTGAAAATATATTATTTAAAATTTTGACTAACTCTCCGGTAACAAAAAACATCGATAACCAACCATATTAATATAAGAATATTATTATTTACAGTAATAATTTAAAAATATATATTTTTTATATTGATTCTTATTCCTATTGCCATACAATATAATAATAATAAATGCGAAAGTGTACACGTGTCTGTCTATCGTGAAAATATTATTCATTTTCATGACTAAATATAATTGTAGAATGGATCATAATATAATATAATGAAATTCAATAACAAGATAGACTATATCAAGATGGTGGATATATTAAATTTTATCTGAAAAAGTAGACGAATTCGCAGATAATTGCCACAAGTACAATTTCAGAGAAATATGGCCAGCGAAACTGTTTTGCACATATTCCTTTCTAAATTGCCAGTAAACTCACAAGTATAATTTCAGAGGAACATGGCTAGTGAAACTGTTTTACTCATATTCCTTCCTAAATTGCCAGTAAACTCACAACTATAATTTCAGAGGAACATGGCTAGCGAAACTGTTTTACTCATATTCCTTCCTAAATTGCCAGTAAACTCACAACTATAATTTCAGAGGAACATGGCCAGCGAAACTGTTTTACTCATATGCCTCATTAAATTGCCAGTTAACTCACAAGTATAATTTCAGAGGAACATGGCCAGCGAAACTGTTTTACTCATATTCCTTTCTAAATTGCCAGTAAACTCACAAGTATAATTTCAGAGGAAATGGCCAGCTAAACTGTTTTACTCATATTCCTTTCTAAATTACCAGTAAACTCACAACTATAATTTCAGAGGAACATGGCCAGCGAAGCTGTTTTACTCATATTCCTTCCTATTCGTCATGCTGAAGACGACTATAACTTGTGGTCCTGCTGTTCTCCTCTACGTCGCCAGCCGTGAACCATTGAAGTCACTGCATACTATACCATCCTCAATGTACAATTCTCATGTATGTATGACTAACTACATACCCTGGCTTTGTACGCGGAATATCAATTGTGTGTGTAAAAAATTATGTATGGAATGGTGAACCGGCTTGACTAATAATGGTGTAAACTTGTCGTAGCACTAGACGTAGATTAGTATGAACTTAAGATCAGGTTAGTTAGTCCACTTTAAGAAGTAATTCTGATGACTACGATTGATTTGGGACTAGATGCCGATGTGGCATATGTCAAGGGTTATTTAAAAATATCTATTTTGTTGCTTTTATACGACGTTGTTGGCAATAGATATAAAGTCTTTTATATTTTCAGGCGCACCGTTTTATGGCCCAAGTATATAACTCTCATGTTGCTCTCAGTGGTTTCGACTTCTTTTATATAACGCAAAGTACTATACTTCATGTAAGTATTTTTAATATATATAATTCTTCTGTAAAAGTGGTTGTCACATAACCAAAGTAGATGAAAATTTATGAAGTTATTTCAATGAGTTCCTGAATAGTTTTAAAATATAATTCATCCGGATAACTGGCTATATTTGTTAAGTTGGCTAACGTTTGCGGATGCACTAGTTCATATAAAAGTACTATTTAATATATTATCATTTAATCTTATTTGTGGTAGTACTATATTATGTTACAATTTAGGCATTAGTCTATAATAATATACATATTCTTGTAGTAATGTTGTGAAGAAAGAGAACAGTTTTTTTTTTAGAAAAAAGTAAAATCTGAAACCATTTCGCCATATACTTCATACTGATACTATAAATTAGAAAGTGTCTGTATATTGATTGAGTGTTGAATATATGTCAAATTTGTATTTATCGTTTTTTTTTACAGGTGGTTCGTCTAATAGTTACCTACGAGTTAGTTTTAATGCAACTTTAAACAAGTCAGCGTGGGGTTTATTTTACTATTATATGACCCATTTAATAACAGCAACATGATATTTCCGTTTAAGATATATTTTTTTGTTTTTTATATGTCTGATTGTAATTTTAATATATGTTTTATTTTAGTACAGTTTATTTTAATGAAGTATGTACAGTATTTACATAATGAAATTAATTTTAAAACGTTAGAATGCTGTTTGTCCTTTCATATCCCTAAAACAGTTATATAGAATAAATTTCCTAAGTTTACTTTCATTTTAGAAATTTTATGTAATTTAATATAAAAAAAATATTTCAATCAATTTCATTGCATGAATTACGTACAATGAAGTTGTTTGAAATAATTTAATTAAAAATATATCAACTACAATTATCGATAACTGACATTTTATTTTAGAGAATTTGAATCATTATATTAATCTGTGAAGCTAAAACTTTATAAGTAAGAAGGGGTCTTACGAAAATTGTGCAGATCTATGTAAAGTGTGTGTAATTACATTATATTATCTGTGGTAATTACACACATTTCACATAGAGCTTTCATACCTCCTATAGACCTCCTATAGCTGGAGTGCAGAATGATAATATTAAAAAATAAAATATTTGACAACCATATATAAGAATAGTCTTTAACAGAATGTTAATAATACTTCCAACGTTCAATTTAAATTAATTATGATCAAATAATTGTTAAATTTATAAATGTCATCTAAACTTTAATATTAATCTAAATTTATATGCTCAAAATTTAGCTGAATTTGAAACTATGTATTTATTCCCAAGAACAAAATGTAAAAAAAAAGGTGTTTCTTTCAAGTATTCTCAGTCTTTGTCTAATATTTACAGTTTTATAAAATGCACATACTTTTATAACATTATATAGACTATGAAAGTTAGGATAAAAAGAACGGAATGTAAATATAATATAAACTCTACATTATTGACATCGCTGGAATAACTGCATACTAAAGAGTCACTTTAAAATATGCTTCTATGAAGTGGCCTTATTTTATTTATTAACAGCCTCAGTGGTCGAGCAGTTTTAGACACCGCCTTACTTACTATGGTCGTAAGTTCGATTCGTCGTACTCTGATATATATTATGACTATGATAATTTTTATCGGTCCGAATGTTTTGTATGTTTAGAATCAATTTAAATATATCTAACAGTAGTTTATTACCCATAACAGAAGCTCAGCTTATCTTTGGACTAGATGGCGCTGCGTGAATTGTTCAGGACATTATTATTTTCATTGCGTATTCCTTTTTAAAAAACAACTGACTTAATACATACCTGTACTAAACTATACTTATTGTCATATATTTATAATAGCCAATATTATAATCATATTGAGACTGAAACACCTCGGCGACTTCTTATCCTAAAGAAAACTTCCATACGAAGGCGAAAACAGTAAATTAAACAATTTTTATAGATTTTATGTTTATGATACAGTAATAGCATTATAGATATCACCTTATTATGTGACACCCGTGATATCACTTATGCGTTTCTATCCCAGAGGGCTAGTATATCATACCACTTATTTTGTAATTTCCCTGCCCAATCACACTTTACTACCAACAGCTTAAAAATCACGCTGCTTAGCGGATAAAGTAGATGAGACTAAAGTAACCTCGAAGACACCTTTTTTTCAAAATTGGGTGCATATAAAAAGGAAGTCTAAAACGAAAAATAAGTACACTATAGATAATCTAATTCAAAATACAAAACTAGGTTTATAAAAAACAACTTTTTAAAAAAATCGTACGGATAAATGAAAAAGAAATATAATATTTCTAATAAATCTCCATAAAAAAATACTATTGAAAAACACTGTCAAAATTGACAGAGGTTTCATTTTCAGCATTAATGAACCCGAGCGAAACGAGGTCGGACAGCTAACAATAAATAAAAATAAAAAATGAGCGTCATATTTTCGATGCAATTTCGAATTAAATCTGATATAAAAAAGATACCGGCTGTACTGTTCGTGGTCACTTTGACGTCAGGTTGACCACATAATCTGTAACCTATTGTTAATTCCCATCCTTTATCTACGTTACTTTGTAATTACGTCTTATCTAGTTTCAGAATGGACATGTTGGAACTATTAGTAATATGATCGTATTAAGATTATATTCTCGGTGGGAATGCCTATAAATTATCAGGTTAATAAGTTTTAGTGGAATTAGTTGCTAAGTTTATCGTATTCTAAAATAGATTTTCATATTTCGCCAATGTTATAACAGCAGAGGCTGAATACAAAAATTAGGCAATATTGTATATAATTCAATATTAAATTACTAATAAATTGCGTTAAAGTTGCATCGTAGTGCATTTAGATGCATGACGTGAGGTTTGTTCATAGCTTTATTTATCTACGATACATACAGCTACTTTTTATCGTTCTACCATCAACAGCGAATTCATCTTTATATCCTGAAACCTAAGTGCTCTCGGAGAGTGCTGTCTTTCTCATGATTGTGTGGAATGAACTACCTGTCGAAGTTATTTACTGGAGACTACAGCATGTGGTTTCTTAACAAAGTTTAAGGTTTCTTAGGTTCAGCATCGCGCATGTTACAGCCCAGTATGTTTCAGGCATTCATAGGCAACCGTCTTACGCCGTTAGCTGGTTTGAATCTATCGTGTCATAAAGAAATGTCCATTACCCCCCAGCAAAGATATTTTAGAACCGAAACAACATCGAAACCTTCGACAAAAGATCATATACCTTCCTTAAAGACCGACAGCATACTTGCAGTTTCTCGGGTCATGATTAGTCCCGATTCATGGGCGGAAGTAATCACGTCAGTGAGTTGAGCTGGATGTCCTGTCCCGTATGCTATAAATAGAAATATTGTTAACACCTTTTCAGAAACATATTTTCTTGTATTCCTTAATGTATTCATAAATGTCAATCACAATATTTTCCAGTCGTTTGCACGCCCATTTGTATTCGTAATGGACAATTTGACCGGCGGGTACCCGTCTAATTCGATTCTAGTACGCGGGCCTTTCTGGGAAATCCTCCGGTTATTTAGAACTTATACAATTTATATTTATCAAGTTACGTGTCTGGACACGACAATGTGGAGAATATAGATTTATAAATTATATTAACAAAATTCAGAAAATTAAATTGCATATTTCTATAGAAATTACGGTATGTTCGTTTATTTAAAGTAAGTTTTGAAAAATTTGTACTTGAATTTAAGAGAATCTCAAAATAAACTATTATTTATTGCTTTTATTTTGTATTTATTTGTTATTAAATACTACAATTCAATTTAATTACCGATTTATAATTATTACTTTATTTTTTATTTCTCTTTTATTTTATTTTATATCTTATTTTACTTACATGTTATTAGCAAGCTATTAAACGTCGTAAAGTTATCATAACGTTGTAATATAAATTAAATTTATGTATTCACTAATAGGTGTAAACACAATACTTTATTTTGAAAGAAAGGAAGGGAATAGCTGTTCCGAAAAATTATATTAGATATTTGTTATTCATTCACGCAAAAACTATTGAAATGATTTTAATTAAACTTTACTGTAATATAGTTTATGCATCAGAATAACATATAGGCTATATTTTTTATTGAACTTTAACGCAGGTAAAACCGAGAGCACAGCTAGTTACATAATAAAAACCTATAATTACCGCATTTAGGTATATATTTACTTTACTATAGCACTAAACTTCTGAAGCAACAGTTTATGATAAGTGAACATGATCTAAACCAGCAACGTAACAAAGTTTTAGCATAGACAAACATGTAAATTTTGAACGCAACATTAGTAGGAGCAGATAATATTATTAAAATTACTTTCCTGAAATGGTATTTCCTGTAAAGTTCTTGCATAAAATATTACTAACTATATTCCGCGGTGCAATTTATATAAATTATATTACTCGCTAAAACAATGAGCCAAATGTTTAAAGTAGCTGACGTATTGCTAGTACCACAAAATATTTTTTTACAAGTATTGTTTGAAATCACTTTGATGACTTTTTGCGTATATCTTATTTTTCAAAAACTTTCTTAAATATACCCTTAATAATTTTGCGGAAATCTAGCACGATTTTTTATGTAACCTCTTTATTTATACTTTTGGTATTGAATTCCATATCCGACCCATAAGTGATATATGTTTTTTTTTAATATTCAAAACATATAAACATATAATAACATTTCCTCTTTCTAATATTAGTGTAAACGATAGAAGAATACCTACATACAAAAGAAACGTGTCGAATACATACATATACACGACGTCGACGAATACATGACAAAATAACAAATAACGTTGTATTTTACGCCATTAATTCCCACAGGAACGGCTAGTGTGGCTCGTAAGGACGAAGTTTCGAGACCCACTTATGGTTTTATAAGCACAAAGATTAATTGACTGGTCTCCTTCAGAATTTACCCCCTGATATTTTTACGTCACAAATCCACGTGTCATTTATATTCTGTGGAAAAAGTGACATGTTTTTTATTACGGTAAACGGTGAACGGTGACAGGTTAAGGGTTTGCGTAAATGTCGACATTTTTGTTTTGTTTCTGTGACAAGTACCTAATAAAACAGCTATTAGCATTATTTCTCTTAAAGTAACTGTTTTCGTGTGTTTGTTTCTTCACATACTTCTTTCTATCACGTATTGAAATATTGAAATATATATATAAAATTGGCTTTAAAAAAACATAAAGTAATAAGAAATTCAATTGAGTTTCTGCAATCGAGTTCAAGTATCTAATCAAACAGCTATTAGCATCATTTCTCTTAAAGCAACTGTTTTCGCGTGTTTATTTCTTTACATACTTATTTCTATCACGTATTGAAATATTGAAATATACATATATATATAACATTGGCTTTAAAAAAAAAACAAAAAAAGTAATAAGAAATTCAATTGAGTTCAATTACCTAATAAAACAGCTATTAGCATTATTTCTTTTAAATCAAATGTTTTCC